GATGCCGCGTTCCAACACTACTGAGTCATGGACAAACAGAGATGTTTTGCTCAGCCAATAAAAAGGACGTGTTGCTGACATGCAGCTGGTGCAATGGATGGAAGGTCTCTTTAAACATCCCAAATTCTGCTCATTTTCTCAATTCATTAAGCTGCCTGCTCTGAGCGGATGAAATATGGAAACACTCAGATGAGCGATCTCAAATGGGTGATAAGGCACAAGTTTAGACAACGAGCAGTGGGAGCTGATGAGCTGCAGGAATCGCTCACAGATCCCACGTATGAAGGGCGAGACTGACTTAAATATGAAACCTGATTTCCCAGTAGGGTGTGAAGAGGGCGGTCAGAAACCTACTCCAGCAATGTGCCCTTGGAGCTGTGATTTGCCATGCAATCTAAAAGCAGAAGGACATCACTGTATGCATCAAGCACGCTCCCTAGAAGCAGCAACCTAGCACGCATCCATGCCAACAGCACAGGAATCCCTTGGTTGGGTTGTTCCACACGAGATCCCTTGCACCTGGACACACAGCTCTGCATCCTGCTTCTCTGAATCTCTGCAGGTATGCAGACGGTGTCCTCCCCCATTCCCACCCCAACAGCTCCACGAAGTGTTCTGTCAATGATCATCAAAGCAAAAAGCTAATGAAATGATGGTGAAATGATCCTTTGAGATGAAAGGTTGCTTTTCAGCAGGTCAATGGAAACAGATCTTCTCCTCCCCGCTCATCCATCTGAGCACACACGTGTGTCAGAACCTGCACAAGCAAAACCAGAGGGTAAGACCAGAACCACAGGGAGGGGAGAAGCAAAGTCCTGAGGATCCCTCGCTCACTCACCTACAGATGCCCCATGGAACCCAGGGAGACCACCAGCAGCTCCCAGAGCCGACCTCCACCGGTGCCTCCAGCCACAGAATGACTTTCCTTCCCTCCTGCCCATCCCTTGGGGGTGTTTAGATGCACAAAAAGAGGATGGTTAAGCCAAGCAGCCTGAGGCATGTCCTGCTGCCATGCAAAGCCCTCACAAAGCAGCTGGTGGAACATGAGTTGGAATGAGAACTGAGCAGCTCCTCCCATTGCATCTCAGGGTCTACATGCTCTGCCTTCACACGGATGCTTCGTGGGGCTCACACCCATCAAAGCAAAGGTGGCCCGTGTTCTTCTATGCAAGTGGAGGCTGAGCTCCTTGGCTGAATCTTCCCAACTCTCTGCTCTTCTTCCTGACGCAGAATGCCCTTGCTGATATCTATCAGCTACATGGATTTGGTGTGGCTTTACTTTACTTCTCATCTTCCAGCGAAACAAAAGAACACATCCCTTGACTCGGGCAGCTTTTGTCCCAGATCAAACAGGCACTGTTTGATGAACACGCTGCACTCACCCGCCTGGAACATCCATCCCTGCCAGCACCAGGAGCTTCCTTGTACTTAGCACTTCTGCCTTCAGGAAGCACGTCCTGGTGCAGAGCTCTACCAGTCATAAAGGTGAGAGCTTTTTGTGTGCTCTGCCATGACACGGATGAAACCATTCCTGCAGGCAGCCAACATCCTGAAGCCATGGCAGAAATAACCCCAAACTCAGCCCTACGTGACTCAGAAGCCCTTCCTGTATGGACCTACAAAGCACCCAGCAGGCCGTCACGGGGATCCTTTCCATTCTGCAGCACACAGTCAGTTTCCCAGCAGTGTGAGTGGCAGCTGCAGTTCTGCAGGGCTCTATCTCCCCATCTGCCCCACTCAATCAGTGGGGCACAGCTCACTGCCAGCACTGCAGCTCCCTGGAGCTGTCTGCTCCTCCTGCTGTAAGCTGCAGGCTTTATCTGCTCGCAGCCAGCTCCTCTAGCAGCAGACTGAAGGCTGCAGGGTGCTGTGGGTCACATCTGCCTCCCAGCTGCCAAACGCCTCTCCTGACCTCTCAGTCCCTCCTTCAGGTCTTCCAGATTAGAAGGCAAAAGCTTGCAGAAAAGAGACATAAAGGAAGAGATAACTAAGCAAACAGGCAGCACAGAGCTGTCCTGCAGCAGCCCATGGTGGGATGCCCCACTGACAGCACTGCACAACACAGCAGCACCTGTACTGAGTCAGGAGCAGCCTTGACACGCTCAGAACCTTTTGCTTTTTCCATTTCTCCTGCTCTTTTTCTCTCCATGCATCACTTGATGAACTACACCAGTGCACTGCCTTTCCTCCCAACCCATTCCCCAAACATTTTTCCTTCTGCTTCTTCCACCTGCCCGGATTTGTTTCACTTCTGCTCCTTCCTGACCAACCCACCCCATTCCACCACTTCCCAATAAGACCACAGCTGCACAGCACTGACCGCAGCCACACTGCTTACACTCAGCCCTGCCTGCAAGGCTCAGTACCAGAGCTGGACTAACAGGGAAGCCCAACGTGTCGGCCTGATGGCACGATACAGGAGACACTCCTGGCCTAAAATACACTCTTTACAGGTTAGTGTCCATCCAGAGCTGCATGGCTATCTATCCCTCGCTCCTCATCTGCAGCTGAGCCACCGCAGCTCTTTGCCACCAGCAGGAGAGCAGAGCGCAGGGAGTGGGCTGCAATCCATGCACACTCATCTAGAACACACTTCAGCTAACTATTTGAGGAGTAAGGTATCTGTGTAAGCAAATTCTACCTTAGAAAAGCAATTGTAAAGGAAGGGAGCTGCAAACAAAGGCTGAAAGCTAGTGTTAACTTCAAAGCTTGACAGAGATGGGAGAAAAGCACCTGGCAGCACAAGGACAGATCCTAATCTCCCCTCTCAGGACAATTCCCCTACCTCCAGCTTTGGGTTTTCTGCAGGCAGAACGCCTTGTACCCAATTACATGTCTTTATCCAGGGCAAGACTGACAGCAATTCCACGGTGGCTAAAGCCAACGAATCCAGGCATCCTCTGGCAGCTAGGAAAGGAAGATCAAAGCCAAGCCCATGACAGGTAAATTAGGATGGCAGCTCTCACGGCTGCTTGACTTCATGTAGCACAGAGACTACAGGTCCCACGTCCTGCCATGGGGTGGGGAGGACCAGCCCAACTGCTGGGGGCTGAGCTCTGCACATCACTGAGACCCTTCTGCCACTGTCTGGGCAGGAGAAAGCTAAACGAAGGCAGCAAGCAGGCAGAGGGAGCACAGCAAATGTGTCTGCTGCCATAAAAACCAGAGCAGTTTTACACCACGAGGTTCAGAAATACTCATTTTTGAAGACAGGGATGCTGACTTCCAGAGGTGTTTGCACCCTGAGCCGTGGCTGTGCTGAACTGCAGCATCATTGCTCAGCTGGCTATTAATTAGGGCTCGTGTCAGCGCTTCCATTACAAACCTCTGCCTTTTAGGGGTTTATAACTCAGCCATAAAACTTTGCTCTAGGCTGAAATTTATCATGAAAGGGTCCGCCTGGAAGGAATCCATTCTTTTCTATTTTAGAGTCCCAAAAGCTTACGGCCACAAAGCAGGGATTTTACTCTGAGGACCGGCGCACAAAAGAAGCCCTTCAGCTGTTTTTTTTACAGGAGCACTGGGTGAGATGTGCCTCCTGGACCGGCTCTGAGACGCCTCCTGGTTGAGGTGGGGGTTTTATATGCTGAATGTTGTAAATTTTAGGAATTATAAGGTTTTATGTTCCAGGGCCAAAGGCGGTGCTTACCTAATCACCAGTGAATCCCTCTGCCCCATCGGAGCGTGACTCGGTTCATGTTTCCCACCATTCCCTCCCCATTTCCTCCATTGAGCCGCTTGGGGGAAGCAAGACTTAATTCCCACCCAACACTCCATTAAGCAGGGATGGATCTGTCTCTCCAGGCACACAGGTATGACCTTCACACACTGCTGCTGCCTGCAGAACAGCCCACGTTGTGCTCACGTGGGGACGTGTCAGTGCGTCTAACTGGCAGAGGCCATTGGTCCTTCAGCTCCTCGCTGCCCACCTTTGCTCTGATGGGAGCAGAATGGAGGCAGAACCCAGCACTGCATTTGATGGAGCTGGGAGTCATCTCTGATACTCTCTCATCCCATCTCTGTTGCCTACATCAGCCACAATGCTGAGAGCAATGTCCTTCAGAGGTGGTTAAACAGTGTCTTCCATTGGCTTACACATGCTGCACCAGCATCAGTTGTACTAATATTTTCCTACTGGTTTTTAATCTGTAACTGAACAGGAAGTTGACACGAAGCACCAGAAACTACCTGTAGCACAAAGAAAAGTCCTCGGTGCTTCTTGCCCCAAAATACTACCTTTGGTGTTGTACTGCTTCAAGCCTTTTGTGCAAAGCATCACTTTTGCAAACAGGATACGTATTCCCATGTCAGTAAGGACACACATATGCCTGGGCCACCTCAATCTCATGTTCGTCCAAAAAGGGGCTACAGCACTGGGCTGTTTTTTGATGGACAGAGATGGCCATGCTTTGTGCAGTGCACCCCAGGGTGCCACTGGCCTTCTTGGCCAGCAGGGCTCCCTGTTGGTTCACGGTCAACCACTGGTCAACTGTTGGTCAACCAAGACACCATCGGCCTTCTTGACCACCAGGGCTCACCAAGGGCTATGGTCAACAGTTGGTCAACTGTTAGTCAACCACTGGTCAACTGCTGGTCAACCAGGATTCCAATGGCCCTCCTGGTCAGGAAGACTCACTGAGGGCTCATGGTCAACAGTTGGTCAACTGTTAGTCAACCACTGGTCAACTGTTGATCAACCAGGATTCCAATGGCCCTCCTGTCAGGAAGACTCACTGAGGGCTCATGGTCAACTGTTGGTCAATCAAAGCCAATCATTTCTCTCTTTACAAAAGAGACTGTTTTCCCCCCCAAGAGAACTTTCCCCACAACAAAAGAACAGAAGGAAGGATATTTGGGAAGGGGAGAAAGAGAAAGAAGGAAGAAAAGCCCCACAGGACCAACAATCAGAAACGTTCATTTACATCTAACAGCATCCATACACCAGTAACATACCGTAAATGCTTAGCCTACCATACAAAGAGGGTGCCCCAAAATGGTACCTGCAAGAGGTCTCTCGGAAGGAGATGTTTAAATCCCAGTGGGTGTGTATCCTGTCAACAAACAAATAAACAGAGATCAATGGCACATGCTGAACACGGCATCCTTTGCCATCACGACCCACCCTCTCCCCAGCTCTGCCCCTTTGCTGCAGGCACAGTCAAACCCCATGTATCCTATGGGTCTCACTGTGCTGGCAGTGAGACTCACAGCAGGCTGAAGGAGCCCCACTGCTGCTGCAGGCTTCCCAACACGCCCAAGGGCTGCAAGGTGTTGTCTCAACTGATGCAGGAAGGGCTAAGCACTGCCATTTTAAGAAGAAAACCCAAATATCTCTGCACTGTACTCCCTCCTTCATGCCCGCCCCAGCTGTAAATAAATTATTAGCAATTTCCCACCTCGGAAATTAATTTCCCATACTCTGTCACTCTGCCTGCTGACAAGCAGGAACAGCAGATTCGAGATGAATAACATCCTCAATCGAGGCAAGGCAGCCACGGGTTGTGCTGGCTCTTTTTTCCCCCCCCGCCTCCTTTTCTCCTCTTTCCAACCTGGCAGCATCCATGCTGGCCCAGGGGGCTCAGGCAGATGCCTGACCTGTGCTCTGCTATCTTGGCATGCTACTGGGAGCATTGCTCCCCTGCCACCCCCAGCAGGGCCCTGACCCCCGCTGTCCCTCCCCGTCAGGGTGATTGATGAGCAGCCCCATAGGAAAAGCAGCAGCGTGAGCCGAGGGCAGCAGAACGAGCCTCATGCAAGCCTGCCTGATTTGAATGTGCTCTGAATTGGGCCAGCAAGCACTTCAGCATGAGCAGCGAAGTCAATGGGACTTAACCACTGCTCAGAAATCAGCTGAGAACAGTGCTTGGCACGGAAATAATTGCATATCCAAGGCTGCGAGCCTCCTCAACGCGAGCCTGCCTTTGTGCTCACCCATAGAGCAGCTCAGAAAGGAGTCCTGCTGATCTCTGAGCCGTTCTTACAGGGGTGAGTACTTCTTTTAGGGCACTGTTCGATTTTATGAGATATTACGCTCCACTGATAAAGCTGTGCTCAGAACTGTATTTATTAGTTCCACGTGTACCTATAGGCTTCACTACTCAGGTACAGTGCTTCAGAAACCCACTCTGGCTTTCTGCCTCCCCAGCTTTTCATCTGCAAACAGAAACAGAACCCAAAGCTCAAAGCAAATTCAAGCTTCTCGTGGTTCTTACGGCCCAGGAGCACCAACCCTGCCTGCACAACAGCGCTGTTAGTGGGGCTGAATTTGCTCTGCTCCCTGGATGACAGTGCACAAAACTGCCTGGAAATGGAGCCAAGGGATCGTGCCCCTCCTTTTCTGTCTATTAAACATTGCTTGGGGCCCTCCAAAATGAATAAATAAACGAAGGAACAACCATCCTCAATGAGCCTGAGCACCAGCCAACTTCAGAGTGTAAGAACACTGCTTGGGAGTGCTGTAAGCAAGGGAGGGAAAGCCTCAGATCCACACAGGGGCAGCTATCAGCTGAGATGGATAATTAAACACCCATATTTAAACAAATGAATAGGTGAGAATGAAATTAAATCCTAATTATCTTTTCTTTTGGGGGGGGGCGGGGCGGAGGAGAGGAATAGGGAGCAGAACCAAGCACTCCTTCCACGTCTCTACGCCGTTATCACCAATTAGATTTCTGAGCCTAATGCACATTTTGCTTTAACGGGTTATTCATCCAATTGAAATCAAATTACTAATAATTTGCAAGCTATCAGCTGCAGGAGCCCATCCTTGGGTCGTATGGGGAACGGTGAGCGAGAGACAGTTCCTCATGAATTAATAACAGAAAAGAGAGGGGAAAAAATGAATACCAGCCCCACAGCATGGCTAACGCTGTCTTCTACCTCCTCACCCACCCGGGATCTCTGACATGGGGTGATGTGTTGCAAAGCTCAGTGCAGCAGCCCAGGGCCCCACATGGGAGCTGCGCATGGGCTCCCCAGCTGCGTGTGGGTCAGCATCTGAGCGAGGAGGTGTCAGGGCTGGGTCCGTGCAGAGGGTGAAGTCACCCCTACATGTATGCAAAACAACCCCAAAGGGATGATGTAACAGGAAGGGCTGAGGCTACTCGAGGCATCCCTGGGAGCCCGCGCCGGATTGCGAATCCAGCCCAGGAAAGAAAGTGACAGAGCTGGCAAAATAAGGGAGCGCAGCTGGGATAGTTTGTAATTTTTAAGGTTTTTTTTTTTTTTTCCTCCTTCCCCATCGTTCCCTTGGACCCCAGAGGACCCTGCAAGCTTTTTTGGCAGTAGTGAGGCCAAAGGAGTGAGCCGTCCTGCTGCTGAGCCCCTGCCCGAGGCCGGCCTGCTCCCATGGCCACGTGGCGAGCGCTGTGCAGCCACATCCCACCTCTCCCCTGCAGCTGTCCTTTCCTCCTCCCCTTTGCTCCAGGGCCAGCTCTGTGCTGGATGGAGTCTATCTGCATCATTCTGTTTTACAGCACAACCTGGGGCTCTCTGCATAGAAGAGCAACCTCGAGATTCCAGCAAGACTGAGACCTGGGGTTGGGACGTCTTGGGGTTGGGATGTCTTGGCTATGCCAAGTGATGGAAGTGATGCTGTGTAGTGGGCACGATGGGGGTGGGTTGAGGTTGGACTTGATGATCTTAGAGGCCTTTTCCATCCTTAATGGCCACGCTGCAAGGAACTACAGGCAGCAACCAGGAGCACTCATGGCTCAGAATTTTGTTTGCTCCCCATCTCACACCTCAGCTCCCCTCCAGTTTCCCATCTCCTCGGGCATCTTCCCATTTCTTACTTTTTGTCCCATAACATCCCTGAGAATAAGGAGCCATTTTCCTTCTCTCCCTCCACAAATATATGGCCTCGTTAGGCCCACGACACAATTCCTGGCGCTCTGGACCAAGCCCAGTCCTTGCTTCCCAGACGGATCTTTAATTGAATATAGTGGCTGTTATTAAGTGGTGCACGGTTCAGAGAGAAAGAAGGGAGGGGAAGGGAAAGGGAAAAGCAAATGATGAGCTGCGGAGGAAGGAAGAAGGAGCTGCCTCTGCCAATTAACAGAAAATAGCCAGTGGAAGCTGTGAAAGAAACGTGTCCTAACAGCATCTCAGGAGGAGGTCAAGTGAGAGGACAGCAGAAGCAGTTCTGCGTTTATCCCATGTCAACCAGAAGGCATTGGGACCTCACAGCCCTGAAGCACAAAGAGAAGCACAAGGGCCGCTCAATAACTTTCAGAGCCAGATAGAAAACCTCATCAAGCACTGGGACAGCCACAGCCAGAATGGCAACGCTGTGCTGCGTGCAGCCAGGCTGTAAGAGAGCAACATTTCTGGAGCCAGCACTCTGAGCCGAAGAAAAAGGCTATTCCTCAGTAGCACTGCCCCAATAATCCTCAGAGCTTCTTCCCCGAGTGCTTACAGTCTGGGTATCAAGCTATGGTATCAGGCTCAGCAGATGCCTCTGGTTATATGAGACAAGATTTTAAGCCCTCTGTTTTCCAGACAGGCGGCATAACACCACGGCTACTTAACACACCCTGCAAAGCAGGCTAAGGAGGACTCAGAGGGTCTCACTACAAGATGAGAAACACTCACCTTTAAGCCTGGGTCACCTGGATTTCTAAGCAGATGAGCCAAGCTCCTTACGGTGCAAGATTTGGCTCCCTCGGCTTTATCACACATGTGCAAAGCAGCAAAGTGACACAGTTTTGCAAGGACTGGGAAAATAAGCTGGCATGCAGTGAAATGCATCAGCTACAGGCATAGATAGCAGCTCTCTGCTCCTTCCTAGGATGGGGCCCTGAGCACATGACGGAGCTGTGGGTGTCCCCATTCTCTTGCAGGGCAGTGGGACCAGATGGCCTTTCATGGTCCATTCCAACTCATTCTGTGATTCTGTGGTAACAGAACACCCTAAGGCAGCTTCCTCAGTGCTTAGACCTCCTCTGAAGGCCGCCGCCATAGGCAAAAGCCTGAGGATCCATATGAGGGAGGCTAGAATGAGGGATGAACCAACAAACTAAGCTCCTGGCCCCTCTTCTCACCCCTTGGAGCAGCACACAGCATCCCCTCATACCACAGAGAGAGCCAACAGAAAGAAAACAGAGAAAAGGGAAAAAAAAACAAAGGCAATGATGTCCAAAGCAAAGATGCAGCTGTTGTACGAGCAAATGCACACAGGGGTGCACGGGGCCACTGGGGTATGGGACAACCACACAGCTCTGCTCGGGCCCCAACCCAGTCCTCCTGCTATCACAGTTTAACCTATTTCTCCCTCTCGGTGGGAAGCAATAAAGCCACAGCCCAATCCATAGCAGCCAGGGAGCACACAACAGGTGAATTAGGGGCAGCAGCAGATGGGGGGCTGGCTGTGCAGGCCCAGCTGGCGTGTCTGCACACTGTCTGCACCACTGCTCCTTGCTGGGGCCAGCATGAGACCTTCCAGGCAATGCACTGGCAGCCACTGAATGAGAAAACCCAGCTCCTTCATTTGGCAGAATTAAAAGCATAGTGAAAAGGGGGGTGCTGCCCCAAACCTGAGCAGGAGGGCTTCCTCTGCACCTTCTCCCCCCATGTGCATGCATAGTGCAGACACATCCCCAAAACACCTCTTATTTCCCAGTGAGAACCCCCAGCACTGCTGTCATTGATCACCCAGACTTTAATTACAGGTGGGCTTTACGAGAAGTGCTGGCTGTTCGGTCTCCCTGCTTCCAAGCTGAATGTACTGGCATCTGCTGGAAGCCAAGGGGGGAAACAGCTCATCTCCTCGGGAGTGAGAAGCACATAAAACATAAGAAAAGCAATTACATGCCTTCGGTTTCCACTCCTCTGTTTTTATAGGGCTTGTCTTAGGATCTGAGTGATTTTATGCATCGGAGAAAGATGACAATCAAGATGAGTTGCAATGATATGCATGGGAGGCTGAGACACTGCGCCTTTAGCTATTTATTTCCCTGCAGCTACAGGTCTTCCAAACATCGTATTTCTTCTGAGGGATGAGGGAACCCCAGATTTTGCAGCTGAATATTATTGGCACTAAGATTTTACATGGGAGCCCAAGTGAGAGTCACCAGAACGTAACCAAGAGCAATCCATTCTCCTCCCCATGTAAGGGGAATGTATGGGGTACTGAGCAAGATGCAGCATCAAAATCTCAGTGTTGAGGTGCCTGACTGCCTGCTGCAACTCCACTATGCCCCATTTTGTGCTACAGAGACACTCCTGTGACCAGGAGATGCATTCTAACACTCGTGACTGAGAACATGTAACATCCATCATTGCTGCTACCTCCAGCCAAAGCTTTGCTCACCAACAGTAAACCACCCTGTTTCTATTGCATCAGAGTTTCTGGGCAAATGAGAGCAAAAGACAGCACTTATGACCCATTCACTGCTGTGCATTTTCCATATGGCTCCTTGATCATGCAATTAATTGGCTCCCCAGGCACAAAGACACAAAACTCTGGAGAGAGCATGCAACAAAGAACAGTCTGCAAATGCAGATGCCTTCAGTGCAAACACAAGGCCCACGATACACGGCCCCCAGGAGCCCTAGAGCCCCAAACAGGAGCGAGCAACCACAAGAGAAGATCCCACTGCTCCTTCTGAACTCCAATGGGACACAACATTTGAATTTCAAGGCCTGCAGGTGACTCCACTGGGCAGCCCACACAGCTGCCCAGTGCCTTTGCTGTTGCAATGCCAACAAAATGCAGGAAAGTACCTTCTTTTCATGATATTGATATGGAGATCCTCTTCCTGCTTCACTTCGGGGTGCTGACCATTGCCCTTGTCACTCTCTTCGCTGTCGTCACTATGCGAGAAAATGGAGGTCAGCTCTTTCTTGGGGATCCTGGTTGGGGGCAGGGGGATCGTCCTCTTCTCTGCCAGGCGACCCCGGTTCTGGCACAGGGCAGAAACAGTTGGAACAGGAAACAGTGGGAGAGAAAAAGAAGAAAAGAAGGATTTGGTTAGGCAGGGATTTGGTTAGGCAACCCGTCACTAAGAAGCTCCTCTCCAATGGTCCCTTTGGAAGGCAATGAGTTAGATTCCAGATTCCAAACAGGTACAGAGGGTGCTGCCTGTTTGCAAAAGCAGAGACACATCCACACCCTGCTCTTCCAGCTCTAGCATTCGACCACGCAGTTCCAGCCTCTCCCCACCTCTTCGCCCCTACGCTGGGTCTCAGCCACGCCAATAGGAAAGGAAGGTAGATGGGAGCACAGTAAGGCTCCAGCCTCTCCCTCTGGAATATTTCCTACCAAATGTTGCCAACTATCCCAGCACAGCAGGCGAAATGGGCCATGGCACAGCAAAGACATGACCCCACTCGCCAGCCAGGTTCGTCTCCCCTACGGCACACAGTTGGCGAGGACAAATCTTAAGAGAAGCAGCATGTTTTTAGCAAGGATTGGAACAACATGAAGAAAGATGTGTGAAAAGGGTCAAGCAAATGCAACGCTGACCTCCCAGCCCAACCTGGTGAGATGGGAACATGCTGGGAGCGCCAGGCAGGCTCCGCAGGGAGAGCAGAGCAAGGCTCAGCCATGTGTTTTGCATTAAGCAAGTGAGGAACTTTCCATGAAGACAAAATGCAAGCTTCTTGTTTACCTCCGTCAATAAATTTCCACTTGCAGTCATTAAGGGGGAGCCCTAATTGCGGTGATAATTAGCTAAATCCATCTGGAAGGCATCACCCCAAGGAGGCACATGAGCCATCCCATCCTGGTGCACTTCCAAGCTGAGCACACGGCTGCATGCAAGCTGCAGGAACCCAGCAAGAGGGGAGCTGAGCTGGCTTAGGAATGGGAAAACTCACACATAGGAGGAAAAAGGCAACGCCAGGAGGAGAGGGCACTGCTGCCACCAGACCTCAGCCCAGGATGGAGTGTGATGCGTTTCTCTGAAGTTGCAATTCATCCTAACAAAGTGGGGGGGAGGGAGGGGGGTGCAGATCCCGGCATCAAAGTAATTGCCATCAGCTCTCTGCTGTGACTTCACAGGCTGAAGAGAATAGCACTGATCGGATACTACAAATCCTTTTATGGCCATTATGGTGCCTCCAAGCAGTTACCAGGCCTCAGTGACTACCCAGGGACTCATCAACCCTAATGAGAGCACGAGTGCAGCAAGAGGGGAGGTGTGAAAGCAGGACATGCAGCCCCCCGAGCTGCAGCACCCTCCTCCAGATGCTCATCCTTCGCCTTTCTGAAATCCCTCCCCTTCAATGCAGCAAACACACACACCCCAATGTAGAAATACACATACATATGCATACATCACACAGGCATTCCTGCATTCAGCATACAAACTGTGCAGGTATCACCCCACACCCAAATGCTCCCCTCGAGCACAAACACACAAGCAGATGGATAACACAGCAGCCCCATGCCCTTGCAGCCATGTGCACCCCAGCTCCCCAGATGCGTATTTCAAAGCTGTATTTATTCTTGCCATGAGATGGGGGCTATTTCATTTTACTTTCTACGTTCCCAGAAAATGACGACGGATGGAAGCAGCCCATTTTGCCTCTTAGGTTCACCTCCAGTCAATCAGCTGTGCTTTGGAGGCACCCAGCAGCAGGTCTGCACGCCTGCATCGTGCTGCTGGAGCATCCTTATCTGCCATTTCATCTCAAAAGCACAAGGATGTAAAATCGGTAAAGACACGAAGGAAAACAGGACCTTATGAACCCACAGCACTCACCATGAGGTGTAATTTGTTCTGTCAGCGCTGCGTGGCTCGGCCTGCCCTGCATCTCATCCCCCCAACCCCTTTTAATGACCCCCCCCATAAACTATCAGTTATTCATACAGCTTTGAGAGCTCGCTGGGGGCTTCCCAAACTGTTAGAACTGCCAGAATTCCCATTCCCAGCTTGCCTGGGCACTGCCAGCCCACCAGCCAGATCCTTGTGGGAGCAGAGCAAGGAGATGAGCAGGCACCATCCCCACTGGGATGCTCCATCAGCATCCCAACCCCAACGCATGGAGATGCCGTGATTCAACCCTCTGCAACCATCCTTTCTATTGGATTAAAAATAACCAGAACAACAACAAACCACCAAAACAACACAAACTGCAGAAACAACAGCATGTGCAATCCTTTGGTTGGTCTGGGAGACACAGGGAGCAGGAGGGGCTGCTAGGGGGGGGGTGGGTAGGAGGGAGGTTGGTGTGCTGCCAATGCTGGGAGCTGAGGAATGCTAAATCTGTTCCATATGCGAAGGAAATCCTCAAGCCCAGACAGCATTTTCTCTCTCTCTTTTTTTTTTCTTTTTTTTAATTGATAATAAAGATATGGAAAAGGAAAGGGGGAGGCTCTGAGAGCCTGGAATCTTTTTCAAATAGCAACCCAGCCAAATGGCTTTGATTAGGGAAATTACACACCCACGGAGCCCACACACCCCTCGTTGGAGAAATGGCATCCATCACATTTAGCTCTGGCTGAGATGAGCAAAAACACACAGGAAAGGAGCAGGTACCTGCCCAGCTAATCCCCTCCCCTGGGCCTTCATTAGGAACCTGTAGGCATCATCCTAAAGGCTACATCCCACGGGTTGGTGGCATCCTACAGGCATCCCATGGGCTGACAGCATCCATTGGGCCAATGGCTTCCCATGGGTTGGTGGCATCCTACAGGCATATGGCACCCCATGGGCTGATGACATCCCATGAGTTGATGGCTTCCCATGGGTTGATGGCATCCTACAGGTGCATGGCATCCAACTGGCTGATGGCTTCCCATGGGTTGATGGCACCCCATGGGCTGATGGCTTCCCATGGGTTGATGGCATCCCACAGGCACGTGGCATCCCATGGGCTGACGAGACCCCACCTTTGCTGTTCCCCATCTCATACACATGAGGAGGACCAAAATCCAGGCCAGCCCTGATTTCCAATCTCCTGAAGAAGACATTAGAAAACCTTGATTCTACTTCCTCTCCTTTTCGCTCAGCCACCATTTGCAGTGCAATATTTACACTGCTCAGCAGCCAAAAAGACAAGCAACCACCAGGCCATCATTCCCCAACAGTCAACCCCACCCTACAACTTTGCAGAGGAGAGATCTGTTGTTCAGACAGACACTTATCAATCTGGGCAGAGCACTCCTTTATACGTGGTTGTTTTTAATAGGTGAAAGTACACTCCTATTTTCTTCCTGGAGTATTTTCTTCACATGCAAGCCTGGTGGTAGCCTCAGTTAGTCATCCATGTAGGTCATGGTGGCCCTTGCATTGATTTCAGGATAGCTGACTCAGCTCTGATGTCTGGGAGGCAGAGCAATGCTGGGCAATCACTGCATGGTGTCGGTCCATCCAACCACCTGTGTTCTGCAATGCACAGCTCTGCTTCCCCTCCCAGGAAGACCCACTCCCATTGCTTGTCTCAAACGAGGCAGGATCTCCACAACCCCCATCAGAGGATCGTTCAGAATAATCCATTTCCATTCAGCAATTTCAAATAACTTGCTGAGATTGTGCTCTGATTGCCCTTTACAGCCTTGAGTTAAAGAAGTGCCATTACCTCGTTACCTGATGGGATCCCATTACCAGCCAGCACTCAGCAGCAGGCTCAGCCCTACCAATCCCAGTCCTCCCCACCTGCATGGGATGTGTTCTGAGATGGCAGAGCATGAGGAATCCTTCTCCTGAGAGCAACAGGAGGTTCCCATTGCAACACCTTCCTGGAGATGGACAGCAAACCAGAGGGATGCACACTGGAGGTTCAATGAGGGTGCGCTTTGTGAAACACATCTCCTCCACCAAAGAGCATCTAAATGATGAAAACTCTGAATTCCCAAAGAAGTCCTCAGGGCACCAAGATGCTTCAGGCACAAATACCCAAGCGAGATGGCAAACGTCCACTTCTCTACCAGCATAACAGCAGCCCACTGCAGTACAAACATCTCCCTGCCCTCCAGGGCTGGAGGCACCACCAGCAGCCATCCCACTGCTCCAAGCTACCACTTCCAGACACGTGCTGGGAGTCTCTTTGCTTAAATCCTTTCACCATTCAGGGCTGCCAGCACCCTGCTCTACACAAAGCCATCACTTCCAGTCCAGGCACTCCATGACCATTTTCAGGGTATCCTACAGAATGATGTTTTAGAGTTTTATTCTGTTCTTATTGAGAGTGGGAAAGGATGTCAGAGAAGATTGCTCTCGACCACTGTGATCCAAAGCAACCCAATGACATCAAGCTCAGCATCCTGCTCCAAGGGGCCACCAGAATGCCTTCTGTCCCTTGTATTGCTTACACTGTAAGCGCTGGGGACACAGAAGGATGCCTTGGTGACACACACAACAGGGCTGTAGGTACTATTATGGCTGCAGAAAACACGTGCTTTAAACCAAAAGAAAGTTACAGAGAAGGGAAGCTCTTCCCATCGATATTAACAACATTATTTCCCGCAGCCCTAAAGAAGCAGATGAACAAGATCTGTGAGCAGAAGGGAGTGTTTCCCATTTATTACCTCTGAGTGAGTTATAAAGCCTCAAGGATAATTTGTTAATAGACTCAGAGCTACGCTCTTCTGGAAAAGCCAACTGGAATTCACAGCCTTTGAAAGGAAATAGTCCAGGATAGAGAATCTATCAGCCCTTTGGAGCTACCCACTGTCAAATCCTCTTTGGAAGAGGCCTGAGGAGTGCTGTGCTCTTTGTTTTCTGTGCCTGTCCCACATCAAACAACTCTGTCCATTTCAGTCTGAGGTTGCAAAGAAGGAAGCGGAGATTTGAAGCCAGGTCCTCAGGCAATGTAAGTCAGTATTAAGGGAGTAGCAGCCAACTGACACCAACTGAGGACATGGTACACCAATGCTGTCTCCTAAACAAAAGCAAACTCGGGCATTTTCCCCTTTGGTTCTTTCCTTCCTCACTCTTCCAGTCTGGTGAAGATAAGG